TATATCAGTGTTAATAAGCAGCTTCACTTTGGAGATAGCCATATTCAATATTTGTATAGCATTGATAGAAGCAGAAGAAATCTTCGTTCCTTTAAGACTATCAGACAAAGCATAAAACTTCTTCTCAAGATACGTTACTTCTACATTGCCTGATTCTGGAGAAGAACTGGTGGAATCAGTAGCAGCCGGAGTTGCAAGTAAAGTTTTTTTGGCTGGGGTAGTAGTGACTTCAGGTTTTGCTGACTCTTGTGGAGACTTAATAACAGGTTTTGATCTAAATTTATCAGATGGCATACTAGCTTGCTTTCCAACGTACAAGTTAGGAGTAGGTTTTGCCACCTTCACATATTTATTATTATTGGCTGAAGTTTTTGAATTTTCTGCAGGGGAATTTGATACAGATTTGACAAAACCTGGGTACTTAAGTAAATTAGTAACAGATTCTGTTGCCGTGGAAAAACAAGGTCTGGAATTTTCACTTGCATTAGATCCAGATTTAACAAAACCTGGGTATTTGGTTGCGTTCATACCGGGTCTGATGTTTGTAGAAAAGCAAGATTTTGAATTATCAGTCGAGCCAGTTCTATATCCTAAACCTGCACCAGGTTCAAGAAATGTCTTTGGGAAAGAGGCTTCAGTGGAGCGAACAAAATTAGAATATTTACTGCTAGTAGGCTTTGTAATACTTGAAGTGTTGTTATCTGATGTATCTTTCGATTTGACGAAATTTCCGTATTTACAGCCATTAGCCTTCTCTTCGGGTTTTACAAATACAATATTGTTTTTTTCTTTAACGATGTCCATGTGTGACGGGAGACCTTGTGACAATTCCTTCAGCTGTGACATGACACCTGGCGAATACGTCACACCGTAACTGACATGATTTATGTAACACATGGATAAACATACGAGGCGATCAGTAGGAAATTTGTAATGGTTATGTTCCAAAAATCTTTTACGCAAGTTCCATTCATGGTCGTTCTCGTAAGGACTACGGAACATTTCCACAGATTTAGCCATTTTGTTATTGTAAATCACAAAATTGTTAAAGTCAAATGAAGATAAATTTTAATGAAGGAAACAATGAAAGTTATGTAAAAAAAAAAAAATTAAATTTTTCACTTACAGAAAATTCGTGGATGGAAGACAGTCACAAAAGTGCAATTAACGTTGTGCCGGTTTTTCAGTCTTTGTGTAGTTTCCAGGCAAGGGCCTTTGAAAAAAAAAACATATTTCGCCTTTTTCTAAGAGGAAACATAAGAAATGCTATAGGAAGGCTCTATAAATATTATACAAACCAACGATCGACAGTGTATATCACAATGTTGTTAATTATTGCAATGTAAACTTAAGGATTTGAATAAATAGCAGTCGTAGTGGAAGCGACAATAACATCAATCGCTAAGTCAGCTGCAACAGAAATTGACGGAAAAAAAAAACTCGTTCTTTTAGGCTACATTATTGCCGACTGAGTAATACAAATCCAGATCAATATCAGCAAGCCAAAACATAATAATTTTCTGGTTAACATAACAAATTTCTTATTAAATACAGTCTATCATTATTGTTGCCTATCTCAATGAAACGACACATTGCTTCATGAATTTTTCTTCGCATATGCGACTAGTTTAGCCTGACTGCAAAATCTTAGAAAGTCAACAATTTTTACTCATCCACAGATTCGCACTTTCAACTATTATTTTCATTATTAGATAAACTTTTTAAGTTTCATTTTTAAATTTTTAATCAATGTTAAAAATATAATTTAAAAGTATCATTTATAAGTTATACAGATTTCAACTGTAATATTTGTACAATTAAAAATTATAATGATTAAAATAAATAAAATTCATGACTAAAAAAAAATGTCTGTCAATGTGAGTTACAGTAAAATTAAAAATGAAAATTATTCGAAAAAATCCGTATAACAACGTTCACCATTCCTAATACAAGGTCTTCGTTTTTTTTTATCACGCCGCTTTATAATATTCCTAATCTATATTCCTAGTTTATTTTTTAATGTTATTATAATCATATATTTTCATTTATACATATCAGTAGATCACCTCAGTCCTTTTCAACGAAATATGGCAAAAGAGGTAGCCTAAACCAATGAGTTTTACTGTTAATAATATATTTAATATGAGAGATGTATTTTTTGTCACCTAGATTACCTCCAAAATGATTGCAAATAAAAATATTTCTGTTTTTATAAAAATTAGTTATAAAGTTTGTCCTTTCAAATTTTACTACAGATTAATTCAGTGGTTTGAAACTTCTGTTCAACTATTTGTGGAGAAGATAAGAGAAAATATTAAAATCGGCCAACTGGTTCCGGGTGATTCTGAATAGTTGACATAAAGGTTAAAAAAAAAAGAAGAAAAGCCTGTAACTTTAAAATTGGATTTATGTTATTTATATTTATGTCAGATTGGAAGCTTTTCTAATTTCTCATCAAATGTCAGTGTGACCTGGACAAGAAGTTGTACACCGAATTGTTAGACTCTGTAAACGGACGGTCGGTCAACCATTACTCGAATCTTTATTATTACTATGATTACTCTGGAGATACAGAATTATATAGATTTTTACCATATTGATAAGGGCGAAAATCAAAAACATGGAGATCACCTTAACCGTGAAGAAAATATTGACATTTTTTTACGACGGTAAAAGTTTTTCTCTTGGAATGATAACCAACATTGTTTAACAAATATAAAGAAACACGAGTGTAATTTAATTTATGTCTGAATTTTTTTAGATGATGAATTATCATTACAAGTTCAGTACCTGTCGCCTCACTGACAGCAACATTATTAAATTTCAAATCTAAATTATTTGTCTATTTAGAATACTACAATTATTAGAAAACTAGCCTATCAGGCGGTATTTAAACTAGCTCCTGCGGAGGGCTCTTGATTAGGCCTTCATCACAATAGGTAGGAAGCAGTAGATGCGATAGGCAACAATAAACTACAGAAGAACTCAAAATTGATCGGTGTATTTAAGTATTACATTAATGTTTAAGCTTACCTTTTAAAAGCTCAACGATAATTCTTCTACTGTCACTTAATTTAAAGACAATTTGGTGTACGTAGGTCCTTACTTTCTGTACAAACAATTATTTTTATTTCATGGGTAACTTTTACTGAATTTCGCAATTAATTTCTATTATTCCCAAATTTATTTCCAAGTTATAAAAATTCGGATTGTACAAAAAAATTGGCCATAAAAAAAAAAAAAAAAAAAAAATCACGTAAAACAATCGCCGAAAGCAAACGCAGTAATGAAAATTTGGGAATCCAAAATTTCAGGATTGTGGGTCTGGATTATACCTGGAATGTTTTTAACCCGCTGACAGAGTCGGCCTGATTCCAAAATGGTATGATATGTTGGGCTACGGCCTCTAGGAGTGAAATGAAAAAGTGTGACACAGTGATACACTGACATTCGCATTTATTATGTAGATATATTAGTTTTTACTTTAAATGCAGGAGTCATAAAAAAGGATTAAAAAACAAAAAAAAACGCATTCTTTTTCTGTAACCTAGAGGTTAACCCTAGCGATAAAGATGCCTATTTCAATTTCATTCAAAGTGTCGGTGCATATGTATATTTTAATTTAATTACAGACCTAAAACATTTCTACAAATTTTAAAAAAATTTTTCTTTTTTTAAAAAAAAAAAATCTATTTGTTACTGAATAATTTCCGAAAAGTTCAATAAGAATTTATAATTATCTGATTTTTTAAGGTTTAAAAAAAAAATCTTATTTATTTTGTCTTCAACTTTATGATATTACTGCTCAGCCCATGGTAGGAGTTGTCCAGACTGAGTGTGAGGGAAATGTATTGTTCTAATATTTTTCAAACTCAGTCAAATTGTGCGTCACAACATAGAACGTTACGGACAGAGAATCACTTCTTTTTCTTATAATATAAATTATATACTTTTCCATTCAGACTATCTTGGTTATTAATATTCATAATATTTTAGTATTATTCACAACGTTTTTACCATTGTTCCCCCTAGATAGAAACATTGAAGTCAGGCATACCTGATCATATAAGAAGAAAGAAGTATGACCATCAAACATTGTAGAATGAAATTAAAATAATAGATACCAAAACCGGAGGATGAAACAACTAATAGAATCAACACATATGTTAGGAACTGATAACTTCCTCAATAGATCTGGCATAGAGACGAATGCCATCTAAAAGACTGATTAAGAAAGAAAGGACATGAAAAAATTCCAATATCGGAATAAGCACACTCATAAAATTTCACCACTTGGATACAGATACTAGATTTAAGGTTCCAAAAGACACATAACCTGGTGCATTAAAGCGTTGGTTAATATATATATATATATATATATATATATATATATATATATATATGGCTCAAACACTAATATTCCATGGTTATAATTTATTACATTGGAATCGGAATCACGATCCAATTCATCAGATCTACAAATGAATTGGATCGTAATTACGATTCCAATGTAACCATGGAATATTAGTGTTTGAGCCTTTTATATTATATTTTTTACTCTGTTCTGGACATTGTTCTACCTGGATTCTATCCTCTTGGGAATTTATATATATATATATATATATATATATATATATATATATATATATTTTTTGTTGGGAGTTGTGAGTTCAATCTCTGGTTCGGGTTGTGAGGAAAGGTCATGTATTCTAGCTCAGGGAATTGATTGATCGATTCGTTTTCTACGGCTTATCAAACAATGTTCGGGTTATTTAAAGCTAGAAAATATTTTTAGGTTGTAGTATTTTTTGTTTGTTGGAGGAGATAATGGTTTCCGTGATACAAGTTTTACTAGTTAACCCATAGCTGAGGGGAGAAGAGGTGGATTCATAGAGGGTATTTGTGCGTAAATGAATATAGTGAACCCAACGAGAATTGTAACTCGATTCTCCGATGAACAATTCCGAGTTATTATCCATAACACCACCTGCACATCCAAGCTTACAGCGCCTGGCATTCCCAAACGGTCACCCATTTAGGTACTGAATAGGTTAGACGTTGCTTAACTACAGTGATCGTACGGGAACCGGTGTTTCAACGTGATGTGGCCGTAAGTTCAGTGAGAGAAACAGACTAGTAACACAAAAAGGTGAATACGGCTGGAGAATTAACTGATACGAAATATTGCTGGGAAATTTGTCCGGCTTTCCCGCATCAAAGGGTTGAGGTTAAAAAATTGCGATAAAACGCGAATAAAAACAGCAAGATTGGAGCAGACAAAATCTCTCTCTTTTTAGGCGCGGACGAATAAAGTAAAATCTCTGCTCGGTGCGCAACAATAAAAGAAGAAAGTGTTTATTTACATATACAGAAAAAAAAAGGGTAAAGGGATAAAAAGACAATTAGGAGAGAAAGAAAGGGAGAAGAAAAAGTCCTTTAAGGGAAGAGAAAAATGTTCATAACAGAAAAAAGATTTGCTCAAAATATTTCTCTGAGCGCCTAAAAAGTTCTTTAGGCGAGTAGAAGGTTGTTAAGGGTTAGAAACACTCACAGTTTTTCCTCACAGTTCTTGTAGAGTAGGAAAATGTTGGTAGATATATATAATTCCGCAGTTGAGGGAGTTTGTAGGTCGACGACAGAAGTCTTGTAGGTGAAAGAAAGGCAGCTTTCAACTGCTCTTTAATACTGGGCCGACGTTCGTTTTTGACAGTCCTTTAGTAAGTAATTCTTCTTTGGTTGAAAGTGGTTCCGAAGTTGACTTGTGCTTCCTATCGTCGACCTCACAGACGGTGGTCGAATGCTCACTGCCAAATAGGCAAAGCTTCTCCAAATTTATGGAGATTTAGTAGACTCAGAAGAATCGGAGACTTTTCCTTCCAAAATCGTTATACACATTTCCTGGCCCCTCCAGTGGTCAGAAAAGACATTCTTATCGCTGATAAGAATCAAGGCTTTGGGGGCCGGTTTTGAAAGTAATGAAAAAGGTTGAAGTGAAAAAGCTGTTAGGTTTATGGCACCATGGAAAGAATAATGGCGGTGGAATTCCTTTTTATATTTTCCGGCTCTTTCGTTAGTCAGAAAATATATTCTTATCTCTGATAAGAATCAAGGCTTTGGGAGCCGGTTTTGAAAGTAAGAGAAAAGTTTGGAGCGAGGATTGGAGAAATAGGCGAGAATATGAACTTGTAAATTGCATTCGTGGTTCTCAAATTAAATTTCAATACTATGCCATAAACACGGAAATCGGAATGAATAAGTGTTCGGTTTAAAATTCTGAGTACAACGACACGTCAGTCATATATGGAAAAGCTGGAAGGTACAATGATCGAAAGTTTGTGAGTATAACAAACCAAGATGAGCATATGGGTCTGAATAACAAAGCATATTGAGTAAAATGACAAAAAAAAACCTTTTCATTTATAAGTTTAAAGGTTTTTATGCTTTTCCCCAAAGGAATTTTTCAAAAGACTGAAACCATTTTGACAGTCATCCTAATTGGCAGGTCCTAAAAATGGCAGCAATTTCCCCAGTATGTAATACTAATAAATACCCAATAACAAACTGTCACACGAATTTGAGGGACAATGGATAAAGTTAAAGTAGCTGTTTTGCAGGTTGAGAGTTTTTTCAAGTTTCTTTAGTGATGTGCCTTTGTATCACACTTGGTTTACCAAGTCAATAAAAATGAAAAATGAAAACAAATATGTCATCCAGCATTTTCTGCTAGTTAATAATTGAATTCTTATTTTTTAGAAAGAAACCTGTTGATTTCAAACGATTAGGAAAAAACAAAAACAAACTCTATATAAAATTCAGAAACAAACATAGTAAATATATTTCAAAATTAAATATAGAAAGTAAAAATAAAAGCGACACAATATAAATTGACGCGAGAAAACAACGTGATACTTAAAAAATGACATGACGTATAAAGTGACGTGATATTTGAAAAAAAAAAAAACTTACACAAGACTTAGAGTTACAACATTAACAACAAATTTCTTTGTCTTTGATGACAGCTTATGAAAGCCGAAAGTACTCAGATAGCCGACAATTTATATTTAAATTTTCACCAGAAACCAGGAAAATGGTTTGATTTGGGAAAAAAAAAAAAAAAAAAATTCTTCTGATTTTCTTTTCCTCAGTTACCTTCGAATTTTGGCAGTTGGTTACTTTTTGTGTTATTTTCTCTTATTGTCCGCGTTTTTACGAATATTTAAAAAAATATTTTTTTTTCTTTGATTTGAAAAATAAAAACTAAAGGGTTTCGTTTGTGATTTAATCGTAGACACAATTCTTGCAGCACGAAGATCGCAGAACACGAAAAGAACTTTTAAAAAACGAAAAACGAAATAAGGTTTGGTAAAATCACCAAAAATCGGATTGTTTTGTCTGGATTATATTTTATCGTAAAAGACTATTTCATGCAGGCTTTATTTTGTAATTGTCAACTCTAAAACAATAGTCACAAATGGTGCGGAAAATGTCAAGATCAAATGATACAGAAATCGACAGTTCATATGTTGTTAGTTTCGTATTTTCTTGTAATAAGCTTTCATCGATTAGTTTTGTCTTTGCAAGGGTTGCTTGTTTGAAACCTAAACTTGAGCTTACTAATCTTATGTGATTTCAAAAATAAAAAAAAAATTGAACCTGTTCAATACTTGAAAAAGTCTAAAAAAGTAGTCTTGCATTTGGTTATTTTAATTAATTCCGTTGTTACTTGATGAATTTGACCTGTAGACTGTTAAATGAAATGTGACCAGGTTGATTGCATCAATAGTGCAGACACCTGAATGTCTACGGTATACAATTACATGCAACAATATATGTTTGGAATGTACGAGAAGGAATATATCAATTTATGTTTACGTATTTCTCCGCAATTTATTACCATAACATACAGTTGTACACAAAATTATTCAATCCTTAGATTATTTTTCATATTTTTCCCCGATGCACCTGTAGCGTATGTACCAAATATAGAGTCGGGTCGATTCACTAAATCTAGCAGGAACACCAAATATATAGGTACTACTACTATTTATATTAATGATTCTTCCACGTACAGGATTCAAGAAATAATAACAACAACTCCAATTTGTTAACCAACAAATATATATTGAATAAAATACAACAAGCATGAAATAAAATCGTATTCACAATGTAGATTAAAGAGAAGGAAGTTCTTTCCCTTTGACTGTAGATTGATTGTAATCAACTGTTTGAAGAAAATTCTCTTGTGAGATAAATGTTCCGAAATAATTATTAGAGCAAAGTTTGCATGTGAAGAATGAATAACACCAAGAATATAATTGCTTGAAATGTGTTGTGAATAAACTGGTTTGAATCAACAAAGTTCTGGTAAATTGTGCTTGGCAAAAGTTACAGAGAGAAAATGTAAGTTTGTAGTTACGAAATTCTGTGTCTGTGTGTGCGTTAAAGTGTGATGAGCAAGAATAGGTAAGTATGCTCAGAACCAAAAGATTCAAAGGAACGACTGCGATGGCTAAATTGTCCTATACAAAGGTAGTAGTAATTTATTAGCCAATCGCAGGCGAATAAAATGACTTGGCGTGTATGCGGGTGTGAAAAACATAGCAACCGCTATACATCCTTTCAAATTTAATTTCATTACATTTGGCTTCTCAATTAGCGAAGCAATAATACATGAATTGGTATTAAATAAAATATAATTAACATTATTAATTTATCTACACACAACTAATATTTAGTTGAAATTTCTTTGGTGCCGATCACCGGATGGAATTACCCCAATTTGTTCGCCAGGAGACTTCGTAAGCTCATTTTCTCTTCTGTTCTAGAATACGGGTGCTACAAGACGTGTTTCGTTCCCTTCGGAGAGACACTCTCTTGCGAAACGACTTCTTAATTGCGACCAAACCACGTGGTGCAACACACACTCAGGTGCGCATGCTACAGCTAATGTCATAAATTTCTCTTCTTTTCTCAGTATGTGCTGTATATAAATGTATATAAAGACACGTTTATATGTCGAATTCACTTATTTTAAAAGCAATCTCATTCCTTAAAAGTGATAACACTCGTTCGCCACAACTGTCAATCACCAGTGGATAAATTTCCTTCAACTTCCCCCACTGCTCTTGGCAGGTCATATGATCCTTAATGGAGCCCTGTTTTTACAAACGCCGGAGATGAAAGATGTACTCCTGACTTATGATTAGAGACAGCCCTTTAGAACATTTTTCAGGGTTGACGAAAAGAACCATTTCTTTTTCAGGGTTGGCGAGAAGGCATGTAACACATTTTTATACTTAATGGCAAATTTTCGTTTTTAGAAAAGACATTTTTTTGTTCTTTCGACTTCACTCTCATCTGCTTCGATATAAAAATTTATAATAAAAAGATACATGTATAAAATTTATTTTCAAATTTGTAAATAAGAAAACTCGAATCTTATGATCTCAAAACCCGCCCAAATAAACATTTACATTATTCAGACTATTGTCCTCATCTTTGTCGCCATACTTATTACAACGTTTCGGTTGGAATGACGAACTGAACCCTTTATTTCGTTCACTGGGGTAGACTGTTCTAGTTCCACGTGCCATGTTTAATGGATGTCAGTTATCAGTTATCTCCTGTTAATTTCCCTCTGAATGTTCTCCACTGCCTTAACCGGGTATTGAACTCACACTCTTTGGGTCCTGTCACTGGATCTAACTAACGCCTTTATCCACTGTGCCATGTATCCTTGAGACAGATATCGCCCAAATAATGGTTGTAATTGGGCGTGGTTTAAGAGATATTATTTTGTGATTGTTAACTAATTGTGAAAGTAAATTACGAAACCAAGGTATCATATTTCTGTTTCAATTGGGAGTCGATTCGTGACTATTTAAGAATTGAAGTATGGCTTTCAAACCGAGGACAGCTTTAATATGCGAAGGAGGGTCGGTTGGTAGCTGGGAGGCAGAAAGCAGAAGGGTTACAATGTTTCAGAATAAAATTATCCGCCTTTTCATCTTTACTCATACAGGCCGTAGTTCAACATATAACATTTTGGAATCAGGCCGACTCCGTGAGCAAATTTAAAACATTCTGGGCCGGATCCAGACGCCCAATCCTGAAATTTTGGATTTCCAAGCTTTCATTACTGCAATTGTTTTCGGCGATTTTTACGTGATTTTTTGCGACGAATTTTTTTTGTACGTTAACAATTTTTATAACATGGAAATAAATTTGGGAATAATCGAAATTAATTGCGAAATTCAGCGAAAGTCACCCATAAAATAAAATAATTGTTTGTACGGAAAGTAAGGACCTACGTACATCAAATTGTCTTTAAATTATGTGGTGACAGAAGAATTATCGTTGAACTGTTGAAAGGTAAACTTAAATATTAATGCAATACTTAAATTTTGAGGTCTTCTGTAATTTACTGTTACCTATTGCATCTACTCCTCCCTGCCTATTGTGATGATGGCCCAATCAAAAGCACTCTGCAGGAGCTAGCTTAAATACCGTTTGATAGGGTGGCTTTTCAGCTAATGTATATATATATATATATATATATATATGTTTTGATCAATAAAAATATTAAAAAATTAAAATTTTCTGACATACTGGGTTGTATATTAATATTTTTTTATCATTTCAATTAGGTTCCTCGACTAGTTTCGGCTAGCATGGTAATCATCATGAGTAACAAAAAAATCCCTGCTTCTTAGTAGCAGTGAACTACAGGAGTGAATGACTGTTTCTGAAGAAAGTGAACTGTAGTTTTCATTTGTTTTTTATCGTTAATTTTGGTTAGTCCTTGTGTTGGTCAGACGGCCTCTTTGAAGTTGTTTTTAAGATAGAGGATGGGGGATTCTTTAAGAATTCCCTCTTTGGTCATTTTGACAGTTTTATTGGCTGCTGGGAATGAGATGTGTGTGTTAAATGTATCTAATCTTGAAGTTGTTTGAGATTGTGTGTGTGTCTGAATATGCGCGCGCGTGCGTGCGTGTGTGTATGTGTGTGTGTGTGTGTGTGTGTGCGTGTGCATCACTCACCACTCGTCGTCGGTTGGGGTCCTTTGGTTGTGTTGATGCTTTTCCCAAAATGACTTCGACATACAGTTGGCCTTGGCCCCCAACAAAGCAAAGTAGTTTCATTTCATTAATTTAGAGCAAGGAAAAGAGACAGAGGCTTTATAAGCTAGAATTGCCAAAAAGGAAACAAAATTTAACTATCCTTAAGGCAAACGAAGAATGAGGTTATTCTGGCGAAATGTTAAACAAATATCCACGCCACGCCAGACTCATCCTGCATTCGTGCGTATATTTCAGGGTTAATACTCAGGATCTGATTCCTCATTTTACATCGGGATTATCACTATTATTATATGCTTTACTATTCAGATGATCATCTCGGTTGTTATACTCAACATTTTGGCCGTTGTACTCTCCGGTCTTCTTTAGGTGTCTCTCTTATTCTGCAACCTTCTCAGAAATTTGAGGTGAACACTTTATTCAATGTGTAAGAGTAGATTGTTCATATTTCGTTTTCCATGCACAGGGGAGATAATTCAAATCAATTAATACTTACTAGTCTTATCCACTTCTTTGTCATTTGTCCGCTTAACTGAACCGGTGGATGTGATTTTTCAATAAGACAAGATGCCGGGATTAAACGTTCAACTGCCAATTAACTCAATATATTTTAACCGCCACTTTAATCCACCAGGCCATATGTCTCTTTGATATATGACCTAGTGGAAGTTTACCGAATAGAACAATAGATACCTGAAGAAAACCGGAGGGTATCACAGCCGAAACGTTGTGATTATAACAATAATAATGCTGTTACGAATCATAAGCCAGATGATAATAGATTCATAAAATTTACAAGAAATTAGATAAAAATATTGAAATTGTTATTGACAAAATTTGCATTATATTTTAAAAAAAAATTGTTCTTCGCAAAGAATAAAAACAGTTTTTGTTGTATGTGTTCAAAATAATTACATTCCGACTCGCATGTCGCAAATGTTTGAAATGAAAATGCCTGGAAAATAAATTGTTCTTGCATTCACATGTATTTGCCATAAATTGTTCTTCAATAGCATTTCGATACAATTAAGAAGATAGTAGTATCCTTAGCAAGAAGGAAATGGGTCCATAATATCGATATGGACATAATCAAGTCGGCTGTAAGGAACAGGAAAAATTTAGGAGTTGATTTTGCATTTCTTACTATAGCTTTTTGATATGGTAAACAATTTTATGTCAGGTCATTCTATTTGTGTTACTGATACCATGTAGCTTAGTACTATCTGCCTCGAGGTTGGGTGATCATTTTTTGTGAGGCGGATGGCTGGGCACACAACAGGATTAAAAATGAGACCACCCAAAGGGAGGATGCACACTCTTGTAGAGTTAACGGTTATCTATCATAATAGAGTAGATAGTTAAGTATGCAGCCATTTCTGAGCGGAGAGATTCCTAGACTAAAGTCACCGCCTAAGGTGGATGGTTTTAATGTTATCAATGGCCACAAATGTATGGGCGTAAAAGGTCGTAAGTTTCCGGTTGAAATATCACGTGGATTGCCTTGCTTCAGGGATACATATCCCCTTCAGTTGTGGACAAAAGGCGTTGTTCCGAAGAAAATATTGTAACTCTTCATCCTCTTTTTGTGTTGAAACTGTAATATCGAAATCAATGAAAGGTCTTATGTCAGTTGTCAGAATATTTCTGGACTCAGTGTTTGCCAGGATTTTAGAAGTATTTTTTTTATATGGAATATCATTCGTAAACTGGCTGATAAGATCAAAGTGTCAAGTGGAGGGTTAAGGTTCGGAATATTCTCCCTGTAATCCTAGAATGATGAATGTGATATTCTCATTGTGTTCTTAATAATCCGCCCCCCCGCTCTCTCTTTTTGCCGCGTGCCTTTGCTGTGTTCAGATATCAACGTATGGCTTCGTGAGACGGTGAACCCGAATATGAAATCAAGATGGAAGAGGTAAGTACAACATTTTACCGACCCTTCATCTAAACCACACACACACACACACACGCGCGCGCGCAAATCGATTATCCTGCTAGCAGCGAAGTGACGAGTACTGAACTAGTAACTATCATAAATTTTATGCAATACTAGTTCGCGACTCGTTGTACATTTAAAATACTATATTTGTTAGAAAAGATGTCAAGATGATGAGACAAAATGGAAAATTTATTAACGACGCATTTCGTCAGAGTGTCTGCTCTCTTTGGCTTCCTCAGGTTAGAATGAAAGAAAAACAAAACTGTGCGTGAGAGAAAATGTCTTGGGATCTCTGAGGATTAGTAGCAATCATAAATCAAATTAAATTTGATACATTATCACCTACAATGTTCAGAAATCAAGGGAGTCTCTGTCCGCCTGTTGTTTGTTTTTTATTTATATCAGAAGCGCTTGGAGTCTGCTGGATTTTAAATCAGTCCCCAGAACCAGAGATTTTTTAAATTTTATATATATATATATATATATATATATATATATATATATATATATATATATATAATGAACTCACACACTTTGGGTCCTGTCACTTGATCTAACTAACGCCTTTATCCACTTTATCCAGTTCAATACCTGGTTAAGGCGGCGGAGAACTTTGAGAGGGGAATTAACAGGAGATAACTGACATCTATTAGACATGCCATGTGAAACTAGAACAGTCTACTTTAGTTTGACATTCCAACCACCTGAAGAAGGCCGGAGCGTACAATGGCCGAAACGTTTTGATGAACATGCCGACAAAGATGAGGACAATAGTCCGAATAATGTAAATAGTGTACATAATACCTCATCTCAGAAATATAGACAGTTATTCATTATTTTTAGAATTTGTGTGCATATGTTTGTATTTATACACCAGTGTATACGTACACGTGCACATCTATGCACGCACGTATATAGGCATACGCACGCGCACATATATACGCATAAACGTGCGTACACGGGTACATGTACACTTATGTTTGTGCTTTGTTATTAATGGTGAAGAAGACAAGGTGCATTAATGGATAACGGCTCGGATTGAGGAATCAGAGAGTCGAGTTCCAGTCGAATCCATTACATTCACTTACGTGCTTGGGAAAAGTATGAATCCTCTTTTCCGCCCAGCTATGGGTGAATAGCAGGATAGACCTTGGATGATAACCAGTCTACCGCAGAAAGAAATGGTAACCTACTGCGGGTAAAAATCTGTCTCGTCAGTCAGCAGGGGCTTAAAACCTGCAAATTTACCAAAAAACCAAATTATTAATTTATGATTAGTATGGGTTCAGAATTTGGGCTTTTGTGCTCTAATAAACTGTGCAAAAATAAAAACCGAATCTTTTAACACAACAGTTATTTTTTTTTTTTTTTAATGATTTTTTAGTGACGAGCCGAACCATTCCAAGACTTTGAATGTTTATGTCAAACGTCACGGGTGTTGTATTCTTCCAAGGTTTATGAGAGTTATGTCCCTTGTTTAGAGAAACAATACTTGGTTTCCTAGTAACGAAGTTTCATAGTTGTAATCATGGCTGAATGGAAAGAACAACTTCAGAGACGTCATCAAAAAAGGTTTGAGGATCAAAATGATTCTTTTTTCTTGATTTATTGTTAGTCGATAGCAAAAAACTTTAGACACACACATATATCAGAGAGGGAGAGAGGGAGAGAGATCACTTTGCTAAGTGATCTCTCACTTAGTGGTTGAACAAGCAGACTAGAGAAGAAGAGTTTGTTTTTTGTATAGCACTCATTACAATACAAAGTCTTAATTCAGTGGGAACAAATATGTCTGTATCATTCAATCAATGCACAGAATTTCATAGAAATTCCATAAAAAAGAACGGAAACACCTACGATTCAACCCGTACTATTTTTACTTTAGAAATGTGCTAACAAGGAATAAGCAAACAAGAAAATAACATTCAACAGGAGAAATGGCTTAAGAAGTAAATGGATTTTAATTGTACAGACATTTAATTCAGTGAACTTAGAGATTTAGTTGAAGTTTAAATTTGTTACTTGGAAATGTTCTTTTGACAGGTGAAATGTGTTCCTGTGAAGCATGTTCATTAGTGTGTAATAGTGATATAGAATCTGTAATCAATAAATCTGTTTAATGCAATTAAACAATTTGTAACATTTTCTATAGTTGAAAGTTTGTTTAAATATAGCAGGAGTTATTTACCTTTAACTGTTATTTGAATTACTTAAAACTTTAAACAATATATATTTTTTTATCTGAACTCACAGAAAAAAAGATTTCAGTTCAAGAAATAATAATAGTAAGTTTCAGTGGAAAGAATGTTCTTCGATAAGGTGTTGTAGGCTGAAATTTGGTGTAAGTTCAAAGAAACTTGTTGATTGAGAGAAAATGTAGGCTTCACTTGAGTATCGAAAAATTGTATTTGGTATTAAAAATGTAGTTTTTATTTTTAATTTAAACTTTTGAGTTGAAATCAGCATAAGTATATGGAAGTTTCTTGCTGCTCAAATTCATTCACTGAAGAGAGATGAATTCTGTTGAGATGCGAAAGTTGTATTCTCTCGGATGGTGTAGAATGTTGATTAGAACGTCGGGTTGACCAATTGTAGAATGTATTACTTCTTGAGTGTTGTGGTCACCAATGTTGAATGGGTTAAATAGATAATGTGGCTGCGTGTTGAAAAGGTAATAAACATTCATACATAATATTTAAAACATCAAGGAAAAAACAATGAGAACCAATTTTGTTTAACGAAGAAATATATGTATATTAAATTCAACAATAATACATAGTTGTAATATAAGTGAAAAGGGGAGAAAAAAGTAGCTTCCCCTTGACTGTAAGGAAATGTCTTAAAGAAGATTTGTCTGAGTAAAATGTTCAGAGTTCAGTGTTGAAAATAGAATATTTCTTTCAGAAAATTGTTCAGTTGTTGCAACTTACAGAGTTGATTTAACTTGGTGTGTCTACTGAGAACTGGTAGTGTCTCAAATAAAGTTCTGTATTGTGTATGTACGTGCAGAGTGAGTAGGATGAAATACATGAGCGAGTAGATGAGATCTATTGTCTCTGGGTACACTTGACTGTGGTTCTGGAACTACTACTACTACTAACTGGGTTTTTTGGAATGCATCCAATATTTATACTACCTAGGGTGGCTCCCAGCAGAGACGCTGGATATATTTTTGAATATACATGAAAAATATCCAATTGGACGGAAAATGAACCAATCAGCGATTTTGTAGCAAAGCTTGTTTTTGAACAAAGTGTAGGAACAAATTTACTATGGTGGAATGTGATAGATAAATTGTCTTGTTATTTTTTAGTATGTATTTATTGACCAATTAGAATTGGAGAAAATGTAGGCATGGCACTACAATGGCATATTTGTTGCTGAAGAAAATCTCACTGTTAGAAGTTGATAAGTTTCTGTGTCCTTGTAGTTGAAGGAGTGAATGAGTTCAGAGATGTGCAATGTTCGTATGTATGTGTGTGTGTCATAGCATCTTCCCATAAGAGACAGATGTGGACTCTTCACTGAACTATATTGTTGTGGTTCTGTGAAGAAGAAAAGCGAAAGAATCAAGATGTCACTAAGTATTTATAATTAATGTGAATCACATGATAGGCTTGTGAACACATAGATTTTGGCAGTAAATTAATTTTAACCATACAGACATAGATGAAAGGATGATATTGACATTAATTGACCAATCAGGAGTCAGAGAAATATCAAGGCTCTGTGATCCACTTTGGTGCTTAGTTTGTACAAAAATTGACATCGAAAGAAAGTGGTAGCAGAATGCTAAATATCTATAAAATATCTGAAAAATATCAAATTAAACCCAATGTTAAAATATTAAAAAAATATCCTTGCTGTTGCAAAGAATAGCAATTTTAAAGGCTTTATTTGTGGCAGAAACTTTTTGAAAATTAGAAATTGAAAACTGGTTTTGTATTCAGTGTTGCTTTGTACTGTGAAAATAAAAGAAAACTTTGTAGTAGGCAATACTCTTAGAAGGAACATGGGTTATACTGAAACTTGTTCCTTTTTAAGTTAGACAAGGTGGCATCAGCAACACAAAAGCTGATGGATATGATTTAGTTGGAAGCAGTTCATGTTGTGAATGACTTGCAAAATTTGGAGGTGACGACTTTCAAGCTCTTTGGGAAGATGACAACCACTCAATCAATGTTGGAATTGGTTGAAAAACTCACTGCTATTCAACAGCTGTAAGAAATTTGTAAAGTATGGAAAAGAGCCAAATGGTGGGAAAATAAGTTTTACATAAATTATCAGTAAAAAGTATTGGGCAGTGTCTTATATTTCATTTAATTTCTTTGTTGGCCCCAAAATTCATAACAGATTTTTCTGCATGTGACATATTCAATAGACTTAGTGTCATCATTGGATTTCATTTGTCTTAATAACTGAAGAATTTTTTATAAATGTTGAAACATTTAAAAAAGACTTCAATGTTCAATATTTCATTGATATTTTTTTTTGTATTGAAGCCAGAATTGTTTTATCAAAATGGAATGCCAAAACTTTTGGAATGTTCCCAAAAGGTCATAGAAAGGAAAAAAATAAATATATGCATGAGTTCATAAATTAACTCATTTAAAAGCCGCTATGGAGGGCTAATTAGACCCAAAACTGAAGTGACCATTGGTCCAGCTTAGAAAACAGCAATAATAATTTTGAAGAAATAAGTTTGAATTCCTCAATTCACTCCATGGAACTTCAAAACCTCACTTTAAGTCTGAATCAGGCTATAAAGTACAATTTCAGCCAAAAGACCATTTTGGGCCCAAACTCTGATTTGGGCTGAAATTCCAAATCATCTCATATCTTGAAACCTCTCTCTTTAATTCTGATTCCTTTCCATTTTCAAGAAATAAAATTGATTTCCTTAATTCACAAAGTTTGTTTTTTAAATCCACAAAGATTTTGTGTTACTTTAAACTGAATATAAATTAAAAACTTTTAAAATCACTAATTTTTTCACTTATTTTAAAATTTGAATTATAACTGTTCCATCCTCATCTGGGTACAAATCCCAATACTAGATGTTCAAGCACCAGATGAAGGGTAGTCATTGGATCATCCTGATTCCAAAGAGATATAATATACATATATGTACTTGTAAAATCAGAAAGAGACAGCTGAAATGTTTGGAACAAATAATGAGGAAAGAGGACTTGGAGAATTTGACACTCACAGGACATAGTGAAGGTGGGAGGGGAACAGGGTGTAAACTATGTAACAAGGTTTGTATTGATGCATAGCAGAACAGAGAGTAGGAGGGATAGTAAAAAGACAAACATTACTAAGAGCTGTAAAGGATAGGAAATTGTGGAGAGCCACAATCATCCACGTCCTGAAGAGTCATGGTACATAAAACAAGCCTTTACATTATATTATACTTTGCAGTTTATTTGAATGTAAATAAATATGAAAAGCTGTTAAGATGAGCTGTAAAACTGTAAATGTGTGTTTATATGTATATATGTATATGACTGTTTCTGTGTATGTGTACATATATATGTGTTTGTATGTGAACATACTTCTCTGTATATGTATACAGATGTGTATGAGTGTATACCTTCGTGTGTGTGTGTATGTGTGCATACATATATTTCTTGACTGAGATCAAAGCAACTGGAATATGTCGTTCTCCCGAGAAAAGATCTCTTAACAATGAGGAAATGTCTAAAAGAATTGCATTCAACCATTAATTTTCTTTTGTCAATAACTGTAATGTTTGCTGCCATTTGCCAGACAATCAATTCTGGATGCCTGAAAACACTTTTGATTTTTTAATGATAAATTCTTTTATTTTTATTTATGAAAAGTTTCAAACAAAAATGGAATGAAAATGATTCAAGATTGAACACAGAAGATAAGAAGAGTCAGTCTGAAATTGGGTCCACTTCTTGGCAGAAATATGTTTCCTATAGGAAAGACATTACAAAGTCACCAAATGCTGAATTTTTGCCAAGGTAAATATTTTATCATGATGATGCAAAACATATTAATTCACTCAATGTCATTCTCTTCATGTCATTCCTTAAAAAGCATAATCATTTCTTGATGTCATTCTCTTGATGTCATTCTATACAATACATAATCATTCCGTTGATGTCATTCTCTTGATGTCATTCTATACAATACATAATCATTCTGTTGATGTCATTCTCTTGATGTCATTCTATACAATACATAATCATTCTGTTGATGTCATTCTCTTGATGTCATTCTATACAATACATAATCATTCTGTTGATGTCATTCTCTTGATGTCATTCTATACAATACATAATCATTCTCTTGATGTCATTCTCTTGATGTCATTCTCATAATCATTCTGATGTCATTCTCTTGATGTCATTCTATACAATACATAATCATTCTGTTGATGTCATTCTCTTGATGTCATTCTATACAATACATAATCATTCTCTTGATGTCATTCTCTTGATGTCATTCTCTTGATGTCATTCTATACAATACATAATCATTCTGTTGATGTCATTCTCTTGATGTCATTCTATACAATACATAATCATTCTCTTGATGTCATTCTATACAATACATAATCATTCCGTTGATGTCATTCTCTTGATGTCATTCTATACAATACATAATCATTCTGTTGATGTCATTCTCTTGTCATGATGTCATTCTATACAATACATAATCATTCCGTTGATTCCGTTGATGTCATTCTATACAATACATAATCATTCTGTTGATGTCATTCTCTTGATGTCATTCTACATAATCATTCTGTTGATGTCATTCTCTTGATGTCATTCTATACAATACATAATCATTCTGTTGATGTCATTCTCTTGATGTCATTCTATACAATACATAATCATTCTGTTGATGTCATTCTCTTGATGTCATTCTATACAATACATAATCATTCCGTTGATGTCATTCTCTTGATGTCATTCTATACAATACATAATCATTCCGTTGATGTCATTCTCTTGATGTCATTCTATACAATACTTAATCATTCCGTTGATGTCATTCTCTTGATGTCATTCTATACAATACTTAATCATTCCGTTGATGTCATTCTCTTGATGTCATTCTATACAATACATAATCATTCCGTTGATGTCATTCTCTTGATGTCATTCTATACAATGTAATCATTCCGTTGATGTCATTCTCTTGATGTCATTCTATACAATACATAATCATTCCGTTGATGTCATTCTCTTGATGTCATTCTATACATGTTCATTCTATTGTCAATACAATAAATCATTCTCTTGATGTCATTCTCTTGATGTCATTCTATATTCATGTCATTCTATACATAATCATTCTCTTGATGTCATTCTATACAATACATCATTCTGATGTCATTCTTCTTGATGTCATTCTATATATAATCATTCTGTTGATGTCATTCTCTTGATGTCATTCTATTCAATACATAATCATTCTGTTGATGTCATTCTGTTGATGTCATTCTATACAATACATAATCATTCTCTTGATGTCATTCTCTTGATGTCATTCTATACAATACATAATCATTCTGTTGATGTCATTCTCTTGATGTCATTCTATACAATACATAATCATTCATTCTCTTGATGTCATTCTCTTGATGTCATTCTCTTGATGTCATTCTATATAATCATTCATTCTCTTGATGTCATTCTCTTGATGTCATTCTATACAATGTCATTCTGTTGATGTCATTCTCTTGATGTCATTCTATACAATAATCATTCTCTTGATGTCATTCTCTTGATGTCATTCTATACAATACATAATCATTCTGTTGATGTCATTCTCTTGATGTCATTCTATACAATACATAATCATTCTGTTGATGTCATTCTCTTGATGTCATTCTATACAATACATAATCATTCTCTTGATGTCATAATCATTCATTCAATGTCATTGTTGCCAATTTTAGTTAAAAATGTCTAAATTTAAACATCAGAAATATTTAATATAAACTTCTGACATTCTGTTTTTATATTGTAGAATTAGGTTCTTCAACCTCCACTTTTAGCTTAGTTTGGCACAAGGCCAAATATTTGGAGTAGAAATATGAGAAAGAATTAGATGAAGTAATTTTCCCAGTGGTGAGAGTTTGACTTCTTTGAAAATCTATTTAAAAATTTGCTTTTGTCAAGGCTTTTATAAAGATTAGTTCACTTGCATCAAAATGCAACTATTTCAGTCACCAGTCAAGAATTTGATAAATCTGATATTATATAAAAGAAACAACTCATACACTTTCATTTAAAAATTAAAAAAAAAAGAAACAAAATAAAAATTAAATGAATCTGAGAGAAGCTGCCTTTTATTTGTAAAAATCATTGCAGATAAAATTTAGAAAGTGCTTAATGTTCATTTTTGGTAAAAGCTTTCTGAAACAATCACATTTAAGATACAGAATTACATGTATTGTAAATGAAGTGGATACAAGAATTGGTTTGATTCATGGATTTGTTTTCTTATCAATCCTTTGCAGGTTATTTAAAGCCAGAAAATAGTTTTAGATTGTAAGAATTTCTTTTTAGATAATAATGATTTAGTGATGTAAGTCTTACTAATTAACCCATAGCTGGGGAGAGAAGAGATAGTCATAGCTTTCCCAAGGGTATTTGTACTTAAGTGAATATAACGAAATCAATGGGAATTGGAACTCGACTCTCCAATTAACAATTCTGAGCCATTATCCATTACACAACCTGCACATCTAAGGTTACAATACCTGTTATTCTAAGTAGTCAGTCATCTACATACTGATCAGGCTTAACTTTGCTTAACTGGTGTTTCAATGTAATGTTCTTGTAAGCCACAAGAATTGGCTTATGTTTCCTTTTGTTATTCTTGGAAAAAATAAATGTAACAAGGTACTGGAACGGTTTAAATGTATGAAATTACAGGATGATGATTCAGAGTAGCAACTAATTGGATAATCTCTATCTATAAAAGGCAGGATGTGTGTGTGTGTGTAACGAATGCATGGCCACAATTTTCGATGGATTTGCACCAAAATTTACATGCACATGCTCCAAGTTAGCGGGAAGGCCAAGACTGACCTTGCATTTCCCAACTCCCATCGATAGTGGAAATAATTGATTTTTTCATGCTTCTACGGCAGTTTTCATGTAGTTTGCAACCATTTTCTACTGGCCAGAGTGAGAGCCTATAGCTGGCTGCCACGAATAGGTAGGAAGATTCTATTGGCCAGCGTGCGAGAGCCAACAGCTGACTGACACGAATGTTAACTAGCATGCTAGCATGCAAAAAAATCGATAGCTGCATTAAGTCAGAAGTGGGAAAAATTTAAATCTGCATGGCACTTTACTCCAATTGGCTCATTCATTTGCTTAAACTCAACGTTGATTCTGATTACAGAACTGGGTTGGGTGTGAAAAAGTATTTGTTGTTAACATTCTTTTTTCATTTGGTTCTTTTTGATCCTTTTTTAAAGCTGATTGTTTTGTGTTCATTTTGTTTAGTTCTTTTTTCGTAACAGATTTAATGTTTAGTATAGAGCTTAGAAAAAATTTGCAGTGTGAGATAGGCAAGAAGTAAGGCATGTAGCAACATCAGCACAGCAAAGGGCACTCCTTTAAAGGCAAGGAAGGGCAAAAATATTTTAAGTGATAGTGATTGCTGTATGAGTCGTACAATTTTTGAATCAAGCACAAGTAACGCCGGGCCATGCTGCTAGTAATTATTAAAATTCTCAGGAGAATAAGTTGAATAGTTGAGAATAAAATTAAAAATGAAACGTATTAAAATTTATGTTTTAAAATAATAAATTGAAATTAAAAACAGTTCCAAGAGAATTGAACCTAGATTTAACTCGACAAGATTCAGTAAATTTGAGCAAATCTGAGATACTGAACCCTATTCACTTCATGCTGATGAGAAAAAGATTTGTTTAATGTATTGTATGAATTTCTTGGATCCTGAGAAACTAGAATCCCGACATTAGTGTACACTTTGCAATCAGTAGAAGATGTGTGTGGGCACGGAAAATTATTATTTTAGGCAAAGAAATAAAACATTTGTCTTTTGTTATGTTCCAAGATTTGAGATTTTTTTACATTGAATTGCCCAAGAACCCAATTATCTTTATAGAAAGATGTCTATGAAAATTTTTAAACACAAAGGCAATCCCATATGAATAATTAGTAAGATTTACTAAGATTATGATGTCCCTTTTCAGTGACAATTTTTATCATAATCATTATTTTGGATTTCTAACAAAGAATCCTTAACTGGTAAGAAAAGCAAGCATGTCAATTTACAGGTATATGGAGATAATGAAATTGGGTATTGTGAATTGTCATTTTCTGGGGCCTGGCTAGGTAAAGTGAAGTCATTAATCATTGTTATTGGAAAAGATTTCCAGAAATAAAGCCATCATGAATTTTGCTTAGTGGCCATTTTTCTGAGTGCGGAACAGACATCAAACTTGAGAGACACACTTGTATTTCAGTGGCCTGAGTGAACACACAGACACATGCATGACTGAAGAATTGAGGAAGGATTGAGTAGCTGGCTATTACTTTAGCAGCTGTGACTACAGTTTCCAAATAACCATTCCCGCAGTAGAGTACTTGATTTGTAGTAGCAAATAGAAACATTTTATTCAACCAGTTTTTTTTTATATTCAATAAAACTGTTGTTATCAAAAGTGTTGTGCATTTTATTGAAGGAGTTCTTATTCCAGCCTGAATTCTGACATGTACTTGGATCAAGTGACAAAAGTTTACTATGGCTACAGGCAGGAATTACTCAATTCTGTCTGTGATACACAACTTGTATAAGGGGTTCACACTAAACTTTGCCATCAATCCCAATATCGTAAGGTTTTGGGAAACTCAAATCAATATTATGGAAATGACACACCCACCCCAACAGAGGAGGGAAAGAAAGTCAGAGGACCTGTAAGGTTGATATTATTCTATAAAGCTAATGAAGCTAGTGATTTGTGACTAAGAGGAAAATAAGGAGAAGAGGCAGAGATCGGAGTCGGGGGAGTGTGGTGTGTGAGTTGAGAAGTGATAGGTGTGTTGTTAGACATGTCAACCATAAAGAGTTGTGAACGCCAGTAGGTTACACAGGAATTTAAAAAGAAAAGTATTATTTAAAATGAAAACCCTACAATATTGACAGCAATGAATGATTTATTTCTTTAAAATTGGGAATTTAGGAGATGATATGTTTAACATTCACACACACACACACACACACACACACACATACTGGCTGACAATCAAACACTACCAAGTACACCAGAGTAAGATCAAAGAACATATTGTCCGAAATCTTGAGATCAAAATAACAAGCATATACTAGTTTGCGTATTTAATGGAATAGTCAATAGTTAGTAAAAAAAAAAAAAAAAAAAAAAAAAACATTTCATTTTGTTCATATTTCAATGTTTGTTTACATCATCTTCAGGACAGAAGCTAAATTTATTTTAGAAAATTTTATTGTGTAAAGGTTTGCATATGTGCGTGTGTGTACATCTATGCGTGTGTGCACACTTATTTCCTATCCGTAAAGTCATGAAGTTTTAAACATTTAAATATAAAAAACGTTAATTTTGATTTAAAAACAACTTATGACTTTTAGGATGTGGTGTGCTCAAATGTCAAAATTAAAATATGAAAATAAAATTAAAAAAAAATCAAATTTAAAGAATGCATTTGCTTTCTTTAAAAACCCATGTCTTTCTTTCTCCCTTTCTCTTTCTTTCTCTCTCACTTTCTCTCTTTCCCTACCTTCTCTCTCAACTAATGTGAAAGCAACTCTCATATAAAAAGAGGAAAAAGAAAAGACTGAACAACTGCTGTGAAATGGAAGTTTGCTAGTCCAGGGTCAAGTCACTGTGACTAGAAAATGACCAAAATAAGAGAGGCTTCATGCATAACTTACGCTATAAAAAATGGAAAAGAAAAAAATGCTGAAAAATAAATAAAAGAATTTTGGCCAATCAAAAGAACAAAGATTTTTGATGTTAGCCAAAGCCAAGCTTTGCGACAAGTAGTCTGGAGCCTTTCAAAATTGTATATAAAAGGACAGCTGACAGATGGCAGTAGAGGAAACAGAAACCAGACCAGGCATGTTGCTTGAAGAAATAAGTGGCCACTTAAGACATTTTTTCATCCTTTTTGAGGGCTGAGAATTCACACTAGTGATGCTGCAACATGTCAAAGTAATCACACTCCTGACAGCTGCCAATTGCTATCAAAGTATGACTCCTAAACTAACTACCTAGACAAACAAACTTTTGACAACTAGATTTAGAAAGGACTCACCCCAATTGAAGTCAATTAAATAAACATATATTCTTTGTTCATATCTCATGTAATAAACCCTGCCTGTTGCAGCTATGCCCTGTCTCCCCGGTGGTTCTGGCCGAAAAAGAAATTCACCTGATCTCCCCCCGGTAAACTGAAGGAACCACCACTATTCGTCATGTTGTGAATTCTTGATCTGAACAGCAGTGTATCGGTCTCCCCAGAATAGTCTGGAAGGGAAGGGGAGGAAATGGCCGGGTATTACACTGAAAGGAAATGCAAAAAAAAAGTTTCTTGTCGTAGCTGCAAAGACATGGAAAAAAAAAAATAAGCAACTCTTTCGGTTCCTGTACAAAGAGCCCTTTAAGGCTACTGTTTTTATTTCACTACTGAAGAATTTACACAAGTACAAAATGTTGTAACGAGGTTCACTTGTTTGGGGTCGGAAGCGGCAGAGAGAGAGAGAGTAGGAAAATTTCTGCCTAAACAATTTTGGCTGATCTAATGGAAGTAATTTGGGGATCTTCGTCGGAGCGTGTATTTATAGCAGTTTGGTTTCTCAGCTTTGTTGGCAAAATTAACTGGTTTCATACAGGGTCTGTTTCTATTTCTGGGTTCGGATCAGACCTCTTGGGTGCGTGACAACCAACCAACTAGACCAGTAAATTCCAACAAGCCATCTCTTCCGCATTCTGCCACATTCTAAGAGCCACTCTGTTCTCTCCCTGGTTCTGTGATCTGACTAACTCAAGCATGCGGGCAGCTTATATAGAGAGAGGCGGAGCTAAACCATCTTTAGGCACTGCCCCCGAATTTTAATATGCAAATAGCCTTTGGTCACCATGCAAGCTTTTCCGGTCCCCGAAACTCTGCAGGAACCCAGTTTTTAAGAGATACTAAATATCAGATTTGGCTCTCCTGCTGGGTCTTCCGCAGACAACGTCTACTTAAGTTTTGCCAAAACCACTTATTCCGTCTGGTTGAATTCCGCCATTCAGACCACCCAAAAGTCCAATTCGCCATTTATCACAAACTTTACTTTAACGAACCCGTCTCTTAATCATTCTGGAATTATTACATTTAATTAACTAATAACTCAACCTCAGAAACAATTATTAAGAGAAAAAAACAAGAGAAAAAAAATAAACATTTCTGGAATTACGCCAGAATCCCTTCTACCCAAGTAATTAGCACCTTCATCCTAATTCTTTAGCACTGTTGATTACTAAATTCACTTTTTGGATCTCTCTCTCTGTCACACATATCTTTAATTCTCTTCCTTTATTTTGAAGTGTTCCGAAAGTTTCTGATAAATATTTCTAAGGCCCACTGTTGCTTCTCTACAAGAACACTAGATTTTTTTGCATACATAAAATTAAAAAATTTTATTTCACTGAATTTTTTGTATTTCATGAAAGGATTTCTTCCCTTATTTTCCAGACTTTTGATGACTCCTCCAGCTGTTCACATGGACAAAATTCTCTGGAAGCTTCTCTGTGATGAAGTGCTTGCTGACATGATCCCTCGTTTGGTACGAAACACACTGAGGGAAGTGTGTGAAGAATATTTGGAAACTGAGGTCATCTTGTCTGTTATTGCTGATTTCACAGCTGAGATCATTTTGGAACAAGATGGCTACACTTTGGTGAGGGCCATTTTCTTTCATTTTTGACTGAATCTAGAATTAAACACACACACACAATGGGTATTTACACTGAAGTATTGTCAAAGAGAGAGATATATAAGTGACTTAATGGTTATCTTTGTCGAGCATGGATTCATTGAGTCAAGTTCAAATTCCACTTGCTGCTATTAGATTCATTCTATGCTAATATCTTTGGAAAAGCATGAATTTGCCTCTTCTTTCACTAACTTGTAATAAAACAAGAGGGCAGAATACAGACTGGGCTCTTTAGCCTTGTTTGGAGAACTGTACTAAGAAAGAAAAACTCTGAAATATGAAGAAAGCAAGAATTAACCACTTCATTACTTTTTATAAAAACAGTCATGGTGATTAACAATTTACAGATATTGAAAAAAGAGCTATAAAAACTATAAATGTCTTATTTCTTTTAAAACTTCGTCAAAGACTTCATATTTGATAATTTTCAATATTATATCAAGTTCTTAAAATGTCTCTTGTATTTTTCTTTGCAGTTTAATTGTAGTTTTTTGTAGACTGATATATGATGATTTTTTTTACCAGTCTCATAATATATAAGTTTTACCCAGAAATCTTTTCTCTTTCATCTTGAAGAGCAGATTTACTTGAGGAGATAGCAATATGAACTCATTCTTTCACTTATTTTATATAATATTAAATAATATTATTTGAAAACTTCTCATGATTAAAAAAAATGGCTTTAAAGTCTTACACTGATTTTTTTTCTTTCTTTTTTGCTTGAAGTACTTAATGTCTCTGCTTTGAACGTTTATTTACTATTTATTTGCATTTTTTCCCTCAATAGGAGTAGATAGATTCACCTATCGTCCGGTTCACACCCTTCTCTGGTCTTTTGAACAGTAGTCGAGTTATATTGTTTGTTTCCTATTTCTGGTTCCTTTTAAAATCTTTTATTTTTCTTTCACTTTCATTAGCCTCATGCACCTTAGTGCTGTTATCGCCTTGCTTAGAGTAGTACCTCCTACTCTGTAATTCTTTACCTCGAGTGACTCTTGAGCTTTGTACAGGGTGAAAATCACTGTAAGAAGTAGCTTTTAGTATTATTCAGAAATGGGGAAAAGTGAAAAATTTTATTTTATTTTTTATGATTCAAGGGAAATAATGGTTATTTAGTTTACCTGAGTTACTTCCCTTACTTAGAAATTCTTGAGGATTTTTAAAACATTTTTCCCTTTTGACCAATGACCTGTACGCAGTTGTTTAATAGTTTGACCCCCAACTGGGTGCTTTAAACTTGTAGCATTGTGCCATACTTTGATAGTTTAGTAAATATTAATAATCTTGTTTTACTTTTCAGGTTAATGAAGTATTGAATGAATTGTATGAAGAATGTTTTCTGGTTGACAAAATTCTGAATCCTGTTATGTCAGATTTGTTGCATGAAATTGCAGCTGACACAATAGAAATAGAAATGGAACAACAATTCTTTCAAGACTCAAAAGAGGTAAAAGATTTTGCTGTATTTCTTACCAATTCCCTTTTATTGTTCTGGGTGGATTTTGCCTGGAAAATGTTCTTGAACATTCTCTTTTTGACTTTTCAGTTTTCTTTATTTTATTTTTTAATGACTTGATTTTTAAATTCAGAGTGATGTCTGAAATTAAAAAAATTAAAATGTTCATTTGTATGTTGTATATTTATTTTGCAAATATAAAATAAACAATTCATTTTTAATAAAAAATATATTATGTAGTTTACAGAGAAAATTTTTAATTTATTTGCAAACATTACATACTAATATAATATTATATATTTTAAAGAAATTATATTTGATGAATATATATAATGAATAGTTGGTCTCTCTCACTGTTTTTACATATATATGGTCTGAAGATTGTGTTCAAGCATAAAACAGGCTATTGTCACTTGGTGTTGAACTCAGTGTCCACTTATATATATATATATATATAAATATATATATATATATATATATATATATATATATTTTATATATATATATATATATATATATATTTATATATTTATATATATATATATATATATTTATATATTTATATTTATATATATATATATATATATTTATATATATATATTTATATATATGGCTAAAAAGTGCTTAATATTAGGGATAGAGTCTATGTAAATATAACAGTGGACACTGAGGTCAACACTGAGTGGCAACAGCCTGTTTCTTACTTGAATGCATTCTTCAGGCCTGTTTGTACACTGTCCACTTTAATATATATGTGTGTGTGGGTGTGTGTATACACACACACACACACACACACACACACACACACACACACACACACACACATCATTTTTAAACACCCTAACTTATGATCAACAATAACAACACAACTGCAAGATCTAAATTACAGAGAACCAATATTATTTTTGAATTTACTTTGCCCCTTAAGGAACTGTGTTTCTGATCAAACCAAATTCATGAATAATTACATTGGACATAACACTACATGCCTATCAAGAAGACTCATGTTACACCTCTCTCACCATAGCTGGATTTATTTAAACACACATGGAAACCTACTAAACTCCATCCGCATCATACTTGAAGAAAATACAAATAAAATAGCCTCATCCACATGCAAAGAAAGACTAAAACTAATGGAAGCACTATAAATAAAAAGAAAAAGCCAATAACATTAATTATGAACACGATCACAATGTGCTGAGTGTGTTTGTAAAATAAAGCATTCTATAACTCTAAATACATATATAAAAAATCTATACATTCAATTAAAAATAAAAATAAAAATTCATCGTTGATAATGGCTAAAAGAACGGCTGAAAGCACTTGGATATGCAGAACATTTGCACACTTTATGTCCCAAAAAAGAAAACACTTATAGGAACTAATAAGAAAAATTAAATAAAAAGCTTAACTGCATTAACTTGTCAGTTGTCTTTAATGAAACTTGTATAAAAGAAGAATTGCTGCCCAAATACACAATTAATATATATATATATATATATATATATATATATATATATATATATATATACACACAATTTAAAATTTAAAATTTTAAAAGTGAAGCAGATATTTTCATATAGCACTCAGTATTAAAAATAGAGCATTGGAAATATTTAATATACTAATTTACCTCTTGAAAAGTGAACACAGTACCATAAAACTGTGACTTGGGGCTGTAACCACAAGGATTGATATAGACAATTACAGTTAAGTAATTCTTTTGTATATATAAAAAATAATATATATATATATATACTAGAATGCTCAAGAATTTACAATGACAGTATATGTCTAGAAAACTGGAAGTCAAAATGGCTACAATTGAAGAAAAGAGAAAAAAGAGGTTAAGGAGTGAGAACTGATACCTCTGAAACCTGCTTCCAATATATTCAATTATTTATTCAGGGTTTCACTTGCTTGGTTTGGGTGGGTAGGTAGGGTAAGAGTGTGTTTGCATGTGTGTGTGTGTGTGTGTGTGTGTGTGTGTATGTGTGTGTGTGTGTCTGTCAATTGATGTCAATTGACATTACATTTAAATTTTTAAAGATTATAGTTGTCAGGGAAACAAATAAGAGGAAGAGAGTTCCACTGTCGTGAAGTGTGAGAGAAGAACCTGTTTGAGTAGAAGAGGTAGTTACATTTAACTGTTTCAACTGTAAAAGGGTGGGACTGAGATAATTCATGCAGTTGGGGCACCAGTGAAAATGGCTCATCAGAGCAGTTGCCATGAAAATATTTATAGAAAAGACAGAGGGAAGCCAAATTACATCGGTGAGAAAGTGACTGGATTCAAGACCTCAAATCAGGATTGATCACATTGCATATCCATTTCTGGATTTTGTCGAGAACCTCAAGATGAACGGCGGGGGCACCAGACCATATATGGCAACAGTATTCCATGTGTAGATGAATGGTAGATTTGTAGATGTGAAGGATGGACTCAGATGAGTAAAACCTTCTGGTGAAGAGAACCACCTTTCCTTGTGGTAGATGCAGCTATTGATTCAATGCAGTTGTTCCATCTCAGTTCAGTGGAAAACATGCGACCAAGAAAGTGCAGTAAGGTGCTCTTGTAGCAATAATGGAGCAGTAATAAAAATAAAAAAACTGATGCAATATCCCTAGATATGAGCAGTGGAATGAGAACAGTTTACCCCCATAAATTAAATAAAGGGTTCAGTTCAGAATTTCCTGTAGGCTACCCAGATCAATATACACCTGATGAAGGTTAGATGGCTCAACAGCTGAACATCGTCATCGTAATAACAGCAACAAAAATAAGGACATTAGTCCAAATGTAAATAATGATAACTCCTTATCCCAGAAATTCAGCCTGTAATCTGTCTAAATTTGCTTTCAAAAAATTTAATTGCTATGAGATTAATTCCTTAAATCAATAAAATTTATTGATATGGCTCTTCTGATTAATTCATTTATTAATTTATTGATTTTTTTCTGACACTTATTAACTGATATTATTTTAAGAGATTTAAAAATATGCTCAAATTTGAATGGGGTAAATGGTATCTTTTTACCTCAACAAAAATATCATTAAAACTGAAGATAAGGTTTGAATCACAATCTTGCAATAATAACTACAAATATGAAAGTTGTTGTGAGGTTTGTGATGGTATACTCTACTTCAAAATAGATCACTTTCTGATTCACTCTACATGTTGGCCGGATGTGAATTCTAAGAAAGCAAAACTAAAAATAAAAAGGTGAGGACTGAACATCACATCCAGCCCATAAAACAAATCCCCTCAAAAAATCTAAAATATAATATAAAAGAAACCAATCACAAACGTTGCTGCCAAAGAAAAAAAACATGAATAAAGATGGATTCATGAGCCACCACATTTGCTTTTAAAAAAGACACTGATGGTGACTGAAACAGAATCACTGTGAATGGGCAATCCACTACCGGCAAGTTCAACATCATCACCACTGATCTTGGTCAACCATCCCAAAACAAACATCTACTCCAGGCCCTATCAACTCTACCCTTCCTTCAAGTCACTTCCCTTGTCCACAAAGAGACATACCACTCACATCCTCTGTATCAACAATACAAAGAATCTTATATTAACAATTCTTGTCTTCTTTTCCTTTCACCTCACAAGCAATATTGTTTCATTTGTTCTCTCATGCTAACATACATGTGTCTCTAATGGTGAGTCTCATGTGCAAGTTCTGAGCATTTATATTTTATTTCTAATTTTACAGGTCAATCGTGTGACCCAACAGAATTTATTGGATTCTTTCTTGTTTGAGGAATTATTGAACCTTTGGGCTCAACAGGGACGCCTTTGGACAGAGACTGAAGAACAAAATAGAATTCTTGATGGTAGGACATTTGGCATTGAAAGTTATGAATTCTGATTGGCTGAATTTTAGAAAAGTGTTTTATTCTAAAACCAATTCCTTGTAATTCCATGTACATTTGCAAGATCGTGAGATGTTTATAAATGTTGAAATAATTATATCAAATTTAATATCCCTGCCATTTGTAATAGTAATTTAGTATTAACTGAACCAAATAACACAACTAAATATTGTCATTTATTTTGATCAGGTTTTATTATGGATGCATTACTGAATCAACTTGACAAGTTTCAAGAAGCAAAAACTTTATTGCATGGATGTGTTCCTTTCAATAAGTTACATCAACGAATAGTTACAGATATTGTAAGTAGACATTGTCTGTTATAATTGTAAAATCATTTTGAAAAACTTCACTTGTTGGCCATTTACATTTTATTAACGGACAACAGTAGCTGATGTTTTGATATTTATTTATATAATCATAACATTCATAACATTATGATAATGGTGTGAATAAGCATTGAAATATTGACTTGTTATTCATCATTCTTATTAATTGAATATTCATTGCTTACACTTATTATTTTAATAGCAACAATATTATTTTTTTAAATGAAACATTAACATGTATTATTTTTAATATTGACTTGTATTTATTTTATGATGTGAATTATTTTTTTTCCAGTCATTTGTTATTAAATACAGTTGGAACATTTAAAGGTGAATCTCTAAAACTAAATTGAGATAAAACCTTGTGATTGTTTTGCTTAAAAGTCACAACTGATATCCCCCCCGTACTTCCCTCACCCTAAAATTATAGTAGGTGTTGGGAAGTTTGTTAGAGAGAGAGATGGGGGGGGGGAGAGATGGAGGGGGAGAGAGAGAGAGTTATGCAAGATGAGATACAATCAGTGATTAAAACCAAACCATTCTCTGTCTGTATGAAAAAACAAAAAATAATTTTATAACAAGAAAAAAAATGACGATGAATGGTAGTTTGCATGTAAAGAGTCTGAAAATTGTATAAAAGGTGGAGTTTCTTTTCAGGACAGTGAATTATCTCCTGTCTGTGGCGGCTGCATCTAGAGTTGAAAACATGACATCCGTTACTGCAGATTGTATTTACCAGAGCACCGATGTTGCACCAGAAATGATACATGGTTGAGGTTTAAAATGGGTTTAATGGCAATACTGTGGATAAATTGCCAAAGCCCTCTCAGCACATCCCCTTTTGGGGATGCCTCAGACACTTGGCAATGAACCCAGCCCCTTACCAAAGTAGAGGTAATGCCTGGTGGGGGAAGGACTCCTGGGGCTTGGCCTAATGGATGTACTGATAAAAGAGAGAAAAGAAAAATGAGGGGGAAAGAAGGGAGATCATTTTTAGTTTTTTTTATGCTACTCTGATGGATTCTTAATGGCTGAGAAGCAGTCTTATGTCATGTCTATTTTTGGCCATGGAAATAAATGCAGCAGGTAGATTTTCAAACTTCTGTTAGACTCCACAGCTTTCATCTTAAATTTTAGTTTGAAACTTAGGCCATCAATTCTATGGCAAATATTACCTGACTAAAGTTGTGACAATCTGCAACTAAAAATTGAGTTGGAAGTAAAAACGAGTCAAAAAATGATAATAAAAGTTATCATTTTTATCTCAAAATTTTCAATGATACTAGTTTTTATTTTTCTTGAGCAATGCAGGTTGTGTCCTTTCTTGGTTAAGTGCAATCTTAAACATTCTAAATAGAAACTACAATGCAGTTGTGTTATGTTGACCAATGATTAGAACTGTTTTTATTTACACTTACTGCAATCATCAGTAACAAAATGGCCTCTCTATGTATGAAATCTGGGAAACACCTTTTAGAACAACGTTTTATATTTCTTTTGATTTCTGTTCCTCTAAGACACTCAAAGACTCTGTTATACTAAATTCTAAAAAAAAACAAAAAAAACGTTATGGTTGACAGAAATTCTGGGATTAATGATTTCTGTTATTTCCACATTATTCAGACAAGCATATTCATCTTTTTTATGCCAAGACATTTTAACCAATGTGTTTTTCAACCTTCCTCAGGTGTTTGTTGCATTCGGGGTCTTTGGGTGTGGCTTAGAATTTTCTCTTCTTATCGTTTCAAGATGAAAACCAGAATTTAATAAGCTTATGGAACTGTGGGTCCAAAGTCTTAAAAACATTCAAGTGAGGTTGAAAAATCTATATTTATCTTAGAATAAAATTTTACACTGACTCTTAGCATTCCAGACATAGCTGCAAGTCTAACAATTCCAAATATAAGAAAGTAATAAATGAACTAAAAATATTTAAAAAAAAAGCTGGAATTTTATCTTATTGCATTTATTTTCTTTCAGAGTTTAAATGTGTTACTGGAGCGGTTATCAAATTCGCTAATGGAAGACGAAAGAGAACTGGATAATTTTGAACAAGAACACAAAGCAATTCAATCTACACAGGAAACACTGATACTAGATTAACAGATCAAAATGGAATTTAATAAACCTTCAAGAAGAACCAAAGATAAAACCTGATAAAATCTTTTACTTGATGTTATTTTCATCATCCATATTGTTTTTGTGTTTTTATATAAAAATATGATCTCTGCTGGAAAGTAGTCAGTCTTAATATAAAAAAACAAAAGAATAAAAACAAGAACAAAAAAATCCTTTCTAGGGTAACAACGCTTTAATCCTCTTAAAATTACTGTCTCTAAGAACTAGCACATATTCCAGCATCCCTTCTACCTTTTTGGAAGATTCTGTAAAGTACGATTTCAAGAATGCCATCAGCTACCTCATCACATTCTCCTTAATCATGTCTATGACATTTCTGTGGCAATTTTATCTTTGGGTAAAAACAGAAGTCACATGGAACCAAATGTGGACTTTCTTGGGGAGGGAATCGACATATCTGGATGATGCGCTGTTTTTCCAAATACCCAATGGAAATTTTCTAAGCTAAGACCAAAAGTATGCAACACCCAGGAAGGACTGAACTCACTACTCAATTGTAAATGATCCAGTAAAACAAGCTTACTAACAATTACACCACTTTTAAGTGCCCACCAAATAACTTATATAAGGTATAACAAATCTATTTGGTCAATCATTTTTAATGTGTCAGTCACACAGTATTCATGCTCATTCAATGTCATATCACTGCTGATTGACTAAATGCATGGGAGAGTGTCTTAACACATGTGCAGTGATATCCCTTCTGATTGGGTGACAGGTTACATTATTGCCATGCAATTTTAATCTTGAGATATTGAAAATGGTCAGATATGTTCTAAACTGACTTTGTATTATTACTTTATTGCATTTTCCCATCCAATGTATCTTTTAATATTTGCAATAAATCAAGTGACGGCAAGTCTCTTTGAATTTTCATTATTTTCCATTGTATTCTCACCAACTTCAAAATTACTGTGGTTGGAATTATTTCATTTTTTTCCATTTGAATTGCAAAGTTCATTGGAACCACCTGCAAGGCAACATTTAGACACTGTGTTATTAAAGAAGGGTTAGTGTATTCTGATGTCTTTGTGACAATGGTTGCAACAATGAGCAGTTCCCAGCCTCATAGGTGGGTGGATTCCAAGTTAAACTGATGACAATGTATTAAATTTGCAGTCATGAAGAATCAAATAAATATTATTTTCAGATGATAGTATCTGCATGCTTTGCCTAGAATCAGTGTGTAGTATCTGTGTGATCTGCTTATGATTAAAATGTGTCACATTGTCTCTTCTGTCTAGAATCAGAATGTAGTATCTGTGTGCTATATCTAGGATCAGTGTATAGTATCTGTGTGCTTTGCCTGGGATTAAAATGTCTTACACTGTCTCTTCTGTCTAGGATCAGAGTGTAGTATCTGTGTGATCTGAGATCAAAATGCCTCTCATTGTGTCTTCTGCCTAAGATCAGATTGTAGTATCTGTGTGCCCTGCCTAGGATCAGTGTATAGTATCTGTGTGCTCTGCTTGGGATTAAAATGTCTCACACTGTCTCTTATGCTGAGGATCAGAGTGTAGTATCAGTGTGCTTTGTCTGAGATCAAAGCACCTCTCACTGTTTCTGCTTAGGATCAGAATGTAGTATCTGTATGCTTTGCCTAGGATCAGTGTGTAGTATCTGTGTGATCTGCCTGGGATCAAAATGCCACTCTCTGTCTCTTCTAACTAAGATCAGTGTGTAGTATCTGTGTATTTTACATGGGATCAAAATGTCTCTCACTTTCTCTTCTGCCTGGGATTAATAAGAATTTTTTTGAGATAATAAGGATTTACTGATACAAGTCCTACTAATTAATCCATAGCTGGATGGAAAAGGTATTTACACTAAAATTGGAACTCAACTCTCTGATTTTCAATTCTGGGCCATTATTGATTGCACCACCCACACATCCAAGTTTACTGACATTTGCACTTTTGTCATTACTTTTACTGATATACAATTTTTTAATTCATTCCTTTTTAACACTATTTGAACTCCTTTAGGGTTATTCAATGCCATGATTTGTTTAATGGGTGATATTTTGGTTTTAATTTGAAGGTTGAGTTCATTTGAAATTTTTATATTGATAAATCTAGTTTGCTCAAGAATCCACATTTTTTCATAAATGTCTTTTTTTCATAAGTCCTTTTTTAATAAATACTTCTTCATGACAAACCCCTCTTCTTGACATCTTGAGAAGTAATGCAGTGTGCAAGATAGGCACATTAATCTCCCTTTTATATACTCACATATCATCCTGATATATAATAATGATAATAATAATAATAATAATGAACTCTCTCTCACCAGTGAGAGTCAAAGACTTCTTATTTTTGCAAAGTTTGCTATTTTTGTTAATGCCAGTGACACCAATTCTTCACAACTCATGCAAGATAACCGATATTTATTATAAATTAATTGAATTTGCCATGACTCATCGATTGTTCAACCTTCTCTAAGTTCACTTGGATTCTTTATCCAAGATTTCACAAGCTGATTGATTCCTGCATTGGAAAATCTTTTTTTTCTAGTTTTTGCAGTTTTGGATGAACGCGTCCAAGTTTATTAGCTACACTCCAATTGAGCATATATAGGGATACACATTTTGTTTTAGAAGTAGATATCTTTCATTTCAAGAAATTTAACATTAAATGGAGTGACCAGTTAATGGGGGTAAATAATAATACATGTCAGGTATCACCAGATAATGGGTGAGTTATGGAAGAAAGGAATATTCTCCCAGTTTGCACCTTTCCCATTATGAGGATTATTATATACATGATATAATAACACTTTATTTCACAGACAAAATGGAATAGCTGAAAGGAAACATGCTTTGTTCTTAGAGAGAGTTTTATACCACTGTCATTATATATATGCATATTTAAATGTATCCCACACAGAGAAACTATAACATATATATGCAACAACAAGCAGTGTGAAAAGAAGATGAAAAGAGAGTTTTACTTGTAATAATTACCAATGGGAATTGGAGCTGATGGAGATTCTTCTGTGTTCCTGGGGAAGTCATATTTAGGATTCCAGATTCAGGCCACTAGTGAGTACATATTCGGCAAAACAGGAAAATGGCATTTCATGGATTTTTCCAAAGCTGAGGATTGTGAGCTGGAGATAGTTTTTATATCTGGTGAACGTATATTTCCATAGAAAAATGGAACCATGGGTTTGTAAGCTGTCCTATGTAGCAACTGGATGGCCCTGACAGAAGCTTGGGCAGAAGCCTGGGCAGAACAAATAACTCGTGTGTCTTGACTTCAGGTAGTCAACTAATGGACTGACCACTTTCATCACTTTATAAAGTGCTATCACTAAGTGGCTGTCATGGGATCCACGTTACTTCATCTTGACTAAAGAGAGTTAACAGCCTTTCGTTATCCCTACAAGCTCAAATCTTGTCTCTTCTCGTTGCCCTTTAAATAGCTTGATAAATATTGCTGTGTTGTGATGATAAATTATTAAGTAAAACCAAAATAGTTACAAAATTAAGTAACACCAAAATTTCTGCTTTCATTTTTCTAAAATGAAAACAAAAAATCTCTATCCAAAATATTTTTAAAAATCAGGGAATTATCCGATTCGAATGAAATTTTCTGAGTCACAATTCTTTTTATAGCTATATAAAGAAAAATCCTTTAAGATATTTCAGTAAAAAAATTATGTCATATCAAGTGTGAATGTACTGAAAATGACAGTTGGTTCATGCATAATTTAATAAAATATTATTTTCTTTCATACTGAACAGAAAAAGAAAAAACTTTACTAAACTTAATATTTTTTTACAAGATTACATGCAATTTTTCAGTGCAATTTTGAAATTCGTCCCTTGCAGTTCATAACAAGTTTTTTTTTTTTATTATTAAATAAGGATACGTTTGAAGAGTTGAAAAATTTAAAGTTTAACAACATTTTCGATTGTGAACCATTTTTAAAAGAATTTTATTTTTTTTTCATTTTAGCAACAGTTAGATTATATTTTGGTATATTTGTTCAAAAAGGAAATAATTCTGAATTACAGCCTTTAACTAATTAAAAAATTAATTAAAAAACACATTGGGTACAAACAAGTAGTAAATATTTTATGACAGACAAGAAGAATCAAAAAATAAAAATAGTAATGTCTTAAAACTCAAAAGTATAATTTATTAACTAAAAAAAAAAACAAAAAACTTCTTAATGTAGTATAAAAAATAAAATTATTCATTCCATAAAAGCGCATAGAGTAAAAAAAAATTATATTCTTAAACTATTGGTTATATAAGGTTTTTCAAACATAAATATCAATTTCTTGATTATTATACTGCTGGTGTTCTGTATTTCTTCATATATATGTATTTTCAGACGCTTTTTAATAGAGGGGTTACATGAGAAAATTAAAGTTGTGGCCAATGACCTCACAGGTTACCATGCGTAAATAAACGTTATTTTCATTATTTTTTAAGCAAAAAGTAAACATTAATTTTACAAAATCCAGTTAATTAATGTTTAAATTTACTAAATTTCTTAGAAAGACATTTGTATGACAAATATTAAATTCTTAATTTCAAACTTGTTGTTTACGTTTTTTGTCTAATGGTGGTTCGATGATTTGATGAACGACGAATTAACGTGCCAATGTTTTTAAAATGTCTAAAAAAAACTTTAATTATGTACGGAAATTAATTTTTTCTTTTAATACGGATTAGGTTATTTTCAAATAAAACCCAAATTTAACGTCAAAAGATTTTTAAATTATTTAAAATGCATTTTTCGTTTTTCGTTTTCGGAAGTCCGTGACGTTATTTACATAATTTTGTCTTTATTAATTGACTTTGTTTCGATGACATTTTTTTTTGACTTGATTTTGTTTTTGTTGTTCGTAATAAAAATGAAATGACTGGAAATTTATTGAAAATAAAGGTTCGATGATGTTATTACTTTGAAGTTTTTCATGTACTTGATTCGAATTGTTTAAAGTTCATTTA